TAAGGCTATTTCTTGTTACCTAGCTCATAGCTAGTATGAGTCAAGAATAAGCTGCAATACCATTGGAGTCAGACTGCACTTAGTGTGATGGGCTTTCTCCTGGGGTATCAATAATTTCCTCATGTTCCATGTTTTGGTAAGGTCACCTCTCCACAGTCTTCCTTACTTAAATCAGCAGGCTTTAGAAAAATTATTCGATCTCTGTTCCTTCTTTCCATCATTCTTAGTCTTGCCATTATTGTTTGTTTTTATTCAACCAGGGACCTTCTGTGTTAGACATTGCACTGTTTATACTCACCAGCTCCACAGGAGAAAGATGAGGTTATCTGTTCCCATAGAGATTTACCATGCTGAAAACCCTTATATGAAGTCACGTTGGGTTGAATCAACTCTCCGAGAATGGGTTGAGGTTGATTCAGACAGAACTGTTGTCATTATACTTTTTATACCTGTTTATGACACTTACTGCAAGAAATCAACATTTCTAGCTCACCCCTCAGTCAAATATCCATAGTCTCTAGACTGTCTATATTATTTTCTCTCTATGATACTTTGAAACCTTATGCTATGCCTTCTGGAACTAATTCATCATTTGCAAAATCCCCTCTGTTGTCAACCCTTTCCCCTGTATATTCTCTTCACCTTCTTGTGCTAATTGAAATCTAGTGTCATTGAGGATATTGTTTCTCTTCAGCCTTTTAAACATTAATTGCTTTTTCTGTGGTAACCTTTATACCATTGAACTTAGTGGTAAGAAAAATGTCTTTAATCCATTTCATTTCCAAATCCAGAGACCTTTCTTTACTTTTAAAGAAAGCTTTGATTTTTATGTCAAAAGATTTTATCACCCACCAGCCCTGCTTCCTTACAACTCCCTCTTGAGCACAATTATGTGTTCTAGAATCCCCACGCTTCTGAAGGCTATCCACTGTTTGTTATGACCCCCAGAGTGTAATGCCTTTGCATAGTCATTGTAACACAAGTAAACATCTTTTTGATATTCTCTGCTTCCAGTCTTCTGAATCTGGGCTGAACCTCTGGAAGCTTCCTGTCAATGTACTGCAACTACTGTTGAAGGTCTTCAGCAAAACATTACTTGCATGTGGTATCAATGATATTTTTCTATAATTTGCTCATTCTGATGGGTCACCTTCCTTTGAAATGTGTACAGATATGAATCTCTTATAGTTACTTGTCAAATAGCTGTCTTCCACATTTCTTGGCATAGATGAGTGAGTGCTTCCAGTGCTTCACCAGCTTGTTGAAACATTTCAATTGGCATTCCATCAATTTCTGGAGTCTTATTTTGTTTAAAATCAGGAAAGGTGTGCATCAGGGTTGTATCCTTTCACCGTGTTTACTCAGTCTGTATGCTGAGCAAATCATTAGAGAAGAGTATGAAGAAGAATGCAGTATCAGGATTGGAGGAAGGTTTATTAGCAACCTTCAATATGCAGATGATACCATTTTGCTTCGTGAAAGTGAGGAGAACTTGAAGCACTTGTTGCTGAAGATTAGAGACTGCAGCCTTCAATATGGATGTAAGCAAAACAAAACCCCTCACAACTGGACCAAAAGGTAACATCATGATAAATGGAGAAAAGATTGAAGATGTCAAGGATTTCTTCTTGCTTGGATCTGCAATCAATGCTCATGGAAACAGCAGTCAAGAACTCAAACCACGTTTTACATTGCGTGAATCTGCTGCGTAAGACCTCTTAAAACTGTTGAAAAGCAAGGAGGTTATTTTGAGGTCTAATGTGTGCCTGACCCAAGCCATAATATTTTCAGTGCTCGTATGCGTGTAGAGGTTGGACATTAAAGAAGGAACACCAAAGGAAAAGCAATACACTTAAATTATGATTGAGATACAAAGGAGAAAAAGTATTTTGGAAGAGGGTCAAGGAACTGAGAGTATTGGATTCAGTTGGTGAAGAATATTCAAAGTACCATGGACTGCTCAAGTACCAAGAAAAAACAAATCTGTCTTGGAAGAAATTTAGCTAGAATACTCCTTAGAGGCAAGCATGGTGAGATTTTGACTCATATACTTTGGATATGTTGTCTAGAGAGCCTGCTCTGTGGAGAAGGACATCACGTTTGGTAGAGGGCCAGTGAACAAGAGGAAGGCTACCAGGCAGTGTTTGGCTCTGGTGTATACAAGGTAGCGAGGACTCGGAACTGACTCGATCCCAGATAACAACAGTTCAAGCAGAAAACTGCTCCACTGCCTTGCATTTGTCAAGATCACCAAAGGCCACATCACTGAATTCAGTATGGTTTCATTTTCAGGACCTTTAAGTGTCATTGATGAACATTTTAAATTTTATACCTCTGATTTATATCTCCATATCGGACCTGTTCCCTTCACTTTAGGTTTTGGTGGTGTATCTAGCTACTTAGTTATCTTATGGATACAAATGTCTAATGGAGGTTTTAAAACTTAAGGTGTCCAAAAATGAAGTTTTTTTCCTTCCTTGTGTCAGCTGATGGCAACTTCATCTTTCCAGCTGTTCAATCTCAAATCTTTAGAGCCATTATTGATACCTTTCTCTCATATTCCCTCTTAGTTTTCCAGGGAATCTTTGTGACATCATCTTCAGAGTACAGTGAACCCTCGTTTATCGCGGTTAATCGGTTCTAGACCCTACCGTGATAAATGAAATTCCG